TCTCTCTCTCTCTCTCTCTCTCTCTCTCTCTTTGTCTCTCTCCTCTATCGTCTCTTCATGTTTGGTCCCTCATCAGGGCTTCCAATGTGTCTTCAGCGCTTTTAACAGTTTCCTTCCCTTTTCCTCCTCACAGAGATGCTCATGTCACCAGAAGCTTTATTTTTAACCCCCATCACCAAGAATGAACGCAACGCAGTTCACATTCTCATATATAGATGCAGGTCCGCTGGCATATGTCACCTTTGGATGGATGAGGCAAATTCTGCATGTTTTTCGGCATATAACGACTGCGGTCCCCTCGGCAATCACTGTTAACTCGCAAAAATGGGACAACCTCGGAGATCGCACACCGTTGCTTACCGAGAGGGGACTCCACCTATCAGATGATCGCGGAATCTGTCTCTGAGCTGTTGCTCGTGCTAAGTATCTCGTTGGGGTAGGCACGATGTATTGTGCAGATCAATCAATGGATAAGTTTACTAGTATGAGTGAACAAGTGGAATGAAGTGATCAGTGAGTAGAGCGGCCATCTGGTATTACTCAGTACCGCTAGCACTACAATTACCATTTTACTTTTCACAATAATTGTGTCAAATGAATATTTGCCTCATAGTTTCACGGAGTGTGCTATCATCAGACAGTGATCTAGTGGTTCATGCCATCAGCTCACCCAATTGGCACCTTAGTCAGCTCATCCAATACGTCTTTTCTAGTGAACGACCTCGGTGGTGATGCTCATGGAACATCCGCGTCAACCTCTATGGCGGATAAGGTATAGGGGATATTTCTTGATAAGCTAAGAATGAGGTGTTTCCACATTCTCGAAGTTTTCATATTCTCCAACTTTCAGGTAGTGTCCGAGATCAGAGCCGCTGGTGGTCAGGCGGTCGCCAGTTATGACAGTGTTGAGTTAGGTGAGAAAGATCGTGAAAACAGCTGTTGACACCTTCGGCAGAATAGGTCAGTTACCTTCTTCCTTCCCTCAATCAGGTTAATTATGAACGATTTGATATGATGAAAAAGGCGGCCAATCTGATTATCGAAGGACCACTTTTTATGCTAAAAGACTCGCAGCGATCCTTCAATAAATGATCGGTAGAATACTTCTGTGTATTCCCACATACACCGTGCTTCACCTTCCGATGCTCCTGAAATGATCAT